ACCCCCTACTGGAGATTCCTTGACGCAGGAGCTTTTTTTTCAAATACTCCATGACTTTAAACAAGAAATCAAAGAATTTGTGCTGGATTTATGCGATAAAATACAGACTAAAATTGCCCAAATAAAGGCGGATATGTTTGAAGTTACGTCTACTTTGACAGATTATATCAAAGAAATGGAGACTAAACTGGAAACTTTGGAGGAGGCTAATTTTAATTTGACTTCTAACATCCAAACATTACAACAAGAGATTAGAGATACTCAAACACAACTTATAATGATAAATTATAACAGGAATTCTGGCGATAGATTTTTCGAATATTCCAATCAAAATTGAGTCCCGGACCTCCCACCGCTTGGCTGAAAGCTTCTACAAACGTCTGTTTCAAGTTCTCTCCTTTCTTTTCGGGCAGTCCTCTGACTCTTATTGCAGACGCCTTTCTGTTATAATTTATCATTGTAAGTTGTGTTTGAGTATTTCTAATCTCTTGTTGTAATGCTTGGATATTAGAAGTCAAATTAAAATTAGCCTCCTCCAAAGTTTCCAGTTTAGACTCCATTTCTTCGATATAATCTGTCAAAGTAGACGTAACTTCAAACATATCCGCCTTTATTTGGGCAATGGGGGGCTCCCTTCCTTCTGATGGTCACTGCTTCCATGGGGAATTCTTGTTCAATATTGTCATAGGTCAAAATTGCATTGGCCTTGACCCAGCAGTCCCAGAAGAAAAAACAGAAATCCTCTGCATCATACAGTCTAAGAACTGGAACAACCACTATGGAGGAGAACCTGGGAGAAGACGAGCAGAGCACTTCCAGGAAGGCCAAGGGGCACTCAGAAGACATGAGGAAAACACATCCATTTCGCCACATGTGGACAAACTTAGCCATGGTTTCCACTAGGAAACTATGATCCAGAAAGCACCAAGAACACAGCGGGCCACTAATATATAAAAAGAAAGTATCACCCACCCACCCCCATCTCCTCCTGGCACTGATGCTGTTACTTAGTTGAGTCATGAAAGGCCTGGAAGGGAACAACCAAGCTCCAAGAGTTCAGCCCTGGGGTACAAATAGCATCTTCCATTGGTGTAACTTCTGCAGTTGCTTTTCTCTGGATTGTCCCAAGGAGAACAATCCCAGGGCTTCCAAATTTCCTGTGCAGGGGCTGAGACCCTTCCTCAACTTTACTCGGGTCCAGACGAGGCACCACAATAACATTCTCAAGCACTTTGATTCTCTTCCTGATTGTGATGAGGTTGTTTCTTTTCAAGCCAAAGCTTTTGCATCAAGTTGTGGAGCAGCTGGAAAGCATTCGCTTTGTTACGGACACACTCTCAAAGGGAGAAACAAAATTCATGGTGAGTCTTCTTTTTTCCTAAAAGAAATGTTTTGTGTGTCTTAAAAAGTCCTCTGTTTTTTAGGGGGAACAGTATAACCCCCGTGGTGGCTGGTCTGTAATCCTCTTCTGATCAGAGGTGCTTTCATGATCACCTTCCATCAGACTTTCTCAACGTCGTGGCCTGGTGGCCCACCTGGTTGAGATGCTTTGCCTTAGTGGCTATGTTGCCTGGGAATTTGGGAAGATGCCAACCCCACCTAAGTAAAATGTGTCCAATTGCAGAATACTGAACTGGACAAATGAGTCAGAAAAGCCCAGAACTGTCTCATTTTTAAAAAGCTGGTGAGCTTGGGACTCCTTTTATTGTATTATACGTATATATTTCTATTCTATTTTCTATATATAGTATTAGAATCGAGAGAAAAAAACCTCTAAAAGTTAAACTCAGAAGGACTTTCAATTATGTTTTCAGCTTTAGAAGTGTTTTGACTTTATTGTTCAATAGAAAAATGTTAAGGTGGAGACATTTTTGCTGCGTATATTGGCGATGGGAACTACATCAATCCTTGCCTGGTTGTTCCCTGGTGCTCCAGGATCTTTGAAAGAGAGAGTTCAGTGGTTCTGAGATCTCATCTGCCAGTTCCTTCAGAACCTTGGGATGTGTCATCCATCTGGTCCTGGTGATTTGAACTCTTCTATAGTGTTCTCTTAGAAATAGTGGTGAATTGAATTAATAACCAAGAATGTTCTAAAAGAGTTGTTGACAAGTTTCTTGCTTTTCTAGGCTTCTTATTTGCCATATTAGAAGAAAGGAGACCTGCAATTAATTGTTCCCGGTTTTTCTGCTTCTAGGGTGTATGTCAGCTTCCAGGTAAAGATGATGACACCGTCTATCCTTACAGGAGAATCGATATCCGGTAAATCTCATACAGAACAAGAACTCCTCCCTTAGAACTCTTACCTTCGCCTCCTCAGCCACTTGTGCATCAGCACACACCCTCCCCAAGCCTTCCGTGTGCTTCCTGCACACTCTCATGCACTCTCACCAAGCTTACCACACCTCCCTTGCACCTTCACTTCCCTTGCCCTCCCTTCTCCATCCTCCCACAGACTTCCCAAGTCTCCCTGGGCTTCCCTTGCATTGTAAGCATTGTAATCAGTAAATGTCGTAAGATGAGGACTCCTCCCGGTGTCAGTCCCCCTCTCGATTGTATTCTAGGTTGATTCCCAAGGATCAGTATTACTGTGGAGTCCTCTACTTCACTGGAAGTGATATCTTCAATAAGAACATGCGGACTCACGCCTTGGAGATGGGCTTCACCCTGAATGAGTACACCATCCGGCCTCTCGGCATCACTGGTAAGTATCCTTCATTGTCTGACTCACAAAGGGCTTTTTGTTTGGAGTATAATGCCACCCATCCCAAATTTTGCTCAAGCAAAGCCATGTTGCGTTGTCTAGTCCTCATAAGATCAGTCGAGGATGAGGGAAAAGCTTCCTGGTGTCAAGAAGAAGGAATGTTTTGGTTGATGGGCCTTTGTTAACACTGCTAATAGCAGTCCAGTCCTTTCGTTCTCTTCCCCTGGTTTCTGTCCTTCTCCCTATAATGGTTGGTAGAAGGTCTGAAGGATCTTTCCTCTAGAACAGGGGTGTCAAACACAAGGCCTGCGGGCCACATCCAGCCCACGATGTGATCGCATCCAGCCCACGGAGCCATCCTAGAAAATGTAAGGGGCCGTCCCCCATCGCTTCTATCCAGTGCAAAGAGGAAATATGCCAGCAGTTTGGGGAGTGGCGTCAAGCTGGCCACACCCACCCAGTCGGCCACACCCAGTGAGTGGCATTAAGCTGGCCATGCCCACCCAGTTGGCCACACCTGCCTGTTCCCCCCCCCCCCCAAGATCAACCACAGCCCTAATGCATCACTCAATGAAATCGAGCTTAAGACCCCTGCTCTAGAAGGAAGCACTGCCAGACCTGTGCAAGTGGAAGCTGTTTCCACAAAGCAACCCTGCCTGTGTGTCTCAGGCCTCCTCTTCCTCCTGTTCGCTTAACAGATGACCTAGCCAGGGAATTGGGGATCTCTTGCTAGGGTGGTAACCAAGTGGATCTCTTTGGCTCTGAATTGGCAGGAGTTGCGGGGGAGCCACTGCCTGTGGACAGCGAGAAGGACATCTTTGACTACATCCAATGGCCGTATCGGGAGCCCAAAGAGCGGAGTGAATAGCTGGGCCCCCACCAGGCCCTGGAAGGAACTTTCCCACGTAGAACTGGAAGTTGCCCTGGGATTAGACTTGACTGCTCTGTCCTGTTCTGGAAAGTTTGGGTGGGTGGGGGGAAGCACGGCAACGTAGGTTTTTTAAAAAAACCTGTTTCAAATGTGCAAGTCAAACATTCACTGTAGCCAATAAACAGGAAATACGACTTTGGCTTGATTTTAAAAAAGTTCAAGCTTCTTATTTTCCATTTAAGTTATGAATCTTCTAATTTCCTGAAATAATTAGTAGCCAGTAAGGATGTAAAACCCTGTGGTGAGAGTTTGAGCTTGGCTGCTTCCTTAAAAGCTCTCCTCGTATCAGGGAGTTGGGGGCGATTCAAGAAAGGGATTCCGGTTCCAACCCTTCCCTTCACCAAGGAGAGCAAGTGGGTCGAGACGTTGCAACCCCTTTTTGGTTTTATTTTAAGCAGGTATTTCTTGTGCTTATTCCTGTGTTCCAATTGCAGAAGATCAAAAATGATTTAAGCCAAGGAATAATCATTTAAAAAACCCCACGGATTTAATGTGTTTGCTTTCTCCTCTCGAAAGAGCGGTTGTTTCAAGAAAATAGTGCTTTCAACATTTTGCAGAAGACTTTGCTAGAAAGCATCAGAAACCTTATCAGAGCTTCCAGGTTTCCACTTCAGTTGAAAGGTACCAGGCCAGTTGCATGCAGGGTCTCCGAGCCAAGCATTCTCGCCTCAGACATGTGCGCTTCCTGATGCTCTGAGGCGACAAGAGAATGCTGAGCTCAGGAGATCTTTGAAGTTCCATTTGGGAAGCGTCTGGACCCAAGCGAAAGGTCTCACGTTACGCATGGCCGCTGCAACATTCAGCCGTAGAACTGAATCAGGTGAGGGGCTTAGTCCAGTCAAGTTGTGCGGGAACAGGTGGCAGTTCAAAGAACTGAGAAGCAGATTCTCTTAGAAGCCCATGTGTTAAAAATGCTCCAGTGCTATTTTGGAGGTTTGTTTAGGCACATGCAGCAGATATTTCAACTGGACTCTTTCACCAGTACCCCAGCATTCACTGTTCTGCTTTCTGAATGCCTACAGACTGCAGTGTTCAGTACCCCTCTGTGTCAGCAGCAGAACACAGCCCCTCCCCCCTCCCCTTCATTCCCATTTCTGCCTTAGCAGCTAGGGAGTCTCAGGAATCTGTCCCCAAAAGAAGTAGGCGTCTGGAAGCTTTCAGATTCGTGTTAATGTCAGGGTTCCAAATAGCATCCAAAATTGAATCAGAGTCCGAGGCAAAGCATTCCTCAAAGTTCCAATTCATTAAGAGAGTCACATTGGCACCTCTGGGGAAACCCGAATCTGAAAGCTTCCTGGTTTTCCCCACCCAGTTGAAAGTTCAAGATCCTGCCCCCACACCCACAAGTCCATCACATGGTCCAATCTACTACTGCCACGAAGACAGATACCTCCCACCCAGTTCCGTCCAGGTGTAGAGACAAAGGATGACCTTGGCTTTCTAAGAAGAACGTTGTTATGGTTACATATTACCCAACTCCGTATAATCCCACCTCCCATTTTCCCACCATAGAAAGCAGACAGTAGAAAGTGTGGCAGGCCTGAAGTCCAAAAGAAAAGATGGCTTGCAGACATGACAAGGCTGGGGACCCATGGATGAAGTTGAAGGCCTCCTTCCTTGATAAAGAGAAGGATTTAGGGAATGGCTCTCCTGCCAGTCCTGATACTGGGAAAGGGCTTTGCTGGTGCCCAAGCGATCCCTCTTCCCTGTGCATTATGGGGGGGGGGGGTGTAAGAGCTCTTGCTGCTCCTCCCTCACTCCTCCTGGGGGAAGAAGAGGGGGAGAATATCCTTGGCTATTTCCCCATGGGCTACGCATTCCAGCACCCAATCTGTAGTGGACAAGTACATTCTTTGACATGTCATAAACTGAATCACATGGTTGCTAAGCAAATCCATTCTTCCAAATGGCACTTTTTTTGGCAAAAAGGTCATAAATCATGGTCTTGTGACCATAGGATATGGCAATCCATCCCAATTGTGAGCCAGTCGCCAAGCGCCCAAAAGGCAGCCAGTTGACCGAGGAGGGCAGCAGTCGTAACATTAAGGGTGGGTTGCAGGCAACTCTTGAGAAATGCGTCGTAACTTTCACTGGACGTAAGTCAAGGATCGCTTGTAAGAACATTGGCTGTTCACTGTTGCCGTGAACCAAAGCAGGTGGCATTTGAGGGGTTGCATTTCCAGGAAAAAGTCAGATCCCAGATCCCTTCAGAAACCCTGGCATTTATGGGGGCTGGTTCAGATGTTTAAAAAGAATAATTATCCTTTCAGAAAAACAGTCATGGCAGAGGGGGGAGGGAAGAGGGGGGATGGAGGGGGACGAAGCTCCCATCTCACACCCAGGCCCAGCTGGAGGGGGGAGGGGTGGCCCTCAGCTGGGGCAATGGACAGCAGAGAGTAACCATCTGAGCAAATCCTCTCTCTGCAGGGAGCTCACACCAGCCTCCTTCCCTGCAGCTCTCAAGTTACTGAGTGGGAGGAGGGGCTTTGTCCATTGCATTAGGCCAGATCCCAGCCTGTCTAGAACAGGGCCGTGCAAGCAGCCGGCGAGCGTTCACGCACAACTCCGTTTGTGTAAGTGGCAGGCACTCACGCCAAGTGACGCTCCCATTGTGTGAGTGGTGCATCTGCCGCTTATGCCAATGGAGCTTCATGCACAGGCACAAGTACCCACCGCTTGTACAAACGCCACTCACATGGCGTTTCCCCTTCCTTCCCCCCCCCCCCCCCAGTCTGCAAAGCTGGAAAGGTTGGGGGCCGCTGCATCAGGCACGAGGGTTAAAAGAACCAGGGAAGGACTTCTGTTTATGTCTGAACCCAAAAGAGAAGTGGGGAGAGAGAATGTTGATCAGATTTGAGATTTTTGAGATTTTATTAATATTTGTAGGCCGCCCTTTTCCCTGGGGGGACTCAGGGCGGCTCACATAAAATCGGGGAAGGGGAAATACAGACATTAAGATAAGACATATAATAAAATAATAAACAACATACATTCATCATTCGGGAGGGGAACTATCCTTGTCCCCAGGCCTGACGGGCGAGCCAGTTCTTCAAGGCTGTGCGGAAGGCCTGGACGGTGGCGAGGGTGCGAATCTCTACGGGGAGCTCGTTCCAAAGGGTCGGGGCTACTACTGAGAAGGCCCTCCTCCTTGTAGTTGCCAGCCGACACTGGCTGGCCGATGGTATACGGAGGAGGCCTAATCTATGTGATCTTATTGGTCGCAGGGATGTAATTGGCAGAAGGCGGTCTCTCAAGTATCCAGATCCACTGCCATGTAGGGCTTTATGGGTGACTAATAGCACCTTGAAGCGCATCCGGAGATCGACAGGTAGCCAGCGCAGCTCGCGGAGGATAGGTGTTATGCGGGTGAACCGAGGTGCACCCACAATCACTCGCGCGGCCGCATTCTGTACTAGCTGAAGTCGCCGGATGCTCTTCAAGGGCAGCCCCATGTAGAGCACGTTGCAGTATTCCAGCCTAGAGGTCACAAGGGCCCGGGTGACTGTTGTGAGAGCCTCCCGATTCAGGTAGGGTCGCAACTGGCGCACCAGGCGAACCTGGGCGAATGCCCCCCTGGTCACAGCCATTAAATGGTGGTCAAACGATAGCTGTGAGCTGTGAGATCTTGGCTGCTTATCAGCAAGTCTGGCATAAAGGGGGCATTCCGAAGGAACTGGGGCTCTCTTTCCGTTGCCTTTTGTCCGTTCGTAGCATGGCAGGGTGCAAAAGTCAAATGTTGACTGGCCTCCTGCCTCCAGCCCCCACCCCATCACAACCCTACCAAAATCAATGCATCCCCCCCCCCACCAGCTGCTGATACTCAAAAGGGGGGAAAGGAACAGGAGAAATCTGTTGATTGCTTTACTTAGAGTGCCTCGAACACAGGTAATCAGGATGCCTCACCCCAGGTATAAGACAAGACAAGAGCAGAAATGGAGGCAGCAAAGTCCATGCTGGTTAATTTCCTGCCGGCTGAAGTACGGGGGTAACACAGGGACAAGTAAAGTCCTAAGGGGCGCAATGTCCGTGAAGGCGGGTGTGCAACCAGTCGGCCCACGTGGGGTCTGATCCCTGCGCTTTGCTTTGCTTCAGGCTCCCTCTGCTTCTGCCCTCTTCCAGGCTCACGGCCTCCTCAGTTGCTGCGGCAGACCCGCAGGCGAGCTCTCTGTGGGGCGCCCCAGATGGGCCGCTGACAAACCAGGCCGGGTGCGCAACCGCAACGCTGGAAGATTTCGGGGCTCGGTACCCCGCCATCCTTCTGCCCTCGCCCAGAACACACGGCGCCTTCGGGGAGAACAGGTTTGCAGATCTTGGCCCAGAAGTGGCGGGCGCAGCAGTGCCCTTGGCTGCAGTCGGAGGTCCGGAGGCAGCGCTCCCCCATGCCAGCTGTGAGAAGAGGCAAAGAGGGCTCAGGGGTCTCCTAGAAGCAAACCCTGGAGCCTGCATTGCTGGGTGACAATTAAGTTGAACTATGCTGGCTGGGGAATTCTGGAAGTTGAAGTCCACCAGTCTTAACGTTGCCATGTTTGAAGACCTCTGGTCTGCCAGATCTGGATTACCAACCTCCAGGCATTCCCAGTTGGTAGGATGGTTTTCTGCCCCATGGCAGCCACCTAGTCAAGTTGCCTGCCGCTCTGCCCACCTGTCATGTGACCCTGCCCAGCATCCTAGCATGCACAACCTGGGCTCCTCCTGGCCCCCACCAGCCTTCAAAAGAGCACGATCCATGGTGTGTTTTTAAGGAACGAAGGTCTGGCTGTGCCCCTGTGTCTCTGGACCCCAGAGTGGGCAGTGGCCCTGCTGTTGCCTCCACAAGACAAGACCCCCCCCCTCACTCTTGCATCTGCAAGCAAAAGGGATTCACCTCTGTCACATTTCAGATTTAATGCAATGGGGCCACCTCTTCCCCACTGCCAAATGATTAATCACCCCTCCCCCAACTGGGCTTTCCGGTAACAAGATGGTTTTAGGTTGAAAAAGTCCAAACTTCCCTCCATAAATGATCGGTCTTTAAAGACTCTCCTAATTCTCCTGGATCCTCTCTCCCTCACATGCTTGCAAGAGACCCTCCTGCTCCCTCTCTTACCTGGACTACGTGGCTTCGGCCGAGATCCCTCCTTCCGGACATGGCTGGCTTGAGCTGGACGTGGCCGCCGTTCCTTGGCACTCAAGTCAGCATGTCTGCCGTCTCTCTGCTCCTCAGCCAAGGGCATCCTTTCCACCTGGGCACACACTTCTGGCATCAGAAAGAGGAGTCTCGGGTTAAAAGGGTCCAGTTGGGCACCAAACACAGGAGAGGCTTCCTTTGCCCCCCCTGCCCCCCCATGGCATCCCTCCCAGCCTGTTTGGCAAGAGGTTCAGAGTACATGAGTTGATAGGGGCTCAGTCCTTTTGGCATTCCAAAAATGGTTAGAAAAATCCCCTCTGCCTGTCCTCTTTCCCCTTGCACAAGATAATTTTCTTTCAACCCGTCACACCCAAGTCCAGCTGGTCAACAGGCGGGCAGGATCAAGGCCTGCCGTTTATTCCTGATGGCTCAGTCCGGCCATAGGCTGGTGATCCCTAGGTGGGTTGGAATCACAGGAAGCCCCTCCACCAGGGATGAAATCCAGCAGGTTCTGACAGGTTCTGGAGAACCACTAGCGGAAATTTTGAGTAGTTTGAAGAACCGGCAAATACCACCTCTGGCTGGCCCCGCCCCCATCTATCTTCTGCCTCCCACATCCCAGCTGATCGGGAGGAAATGGGGATTTTGCAGTATCCTTCCCCTGTCACCAAGCCACGCCCACCAGACCTCGCCACGCCCACCAAGCCATGCCCATAGAATTGGTAGTAAAACAATTTGAATTTCACCACTGCCCTCCACCCATAAGGTGGATCACAGGGGACCCTCTGCGACAGTGACGTGCGGTGAGAGTTACCATTGATGAGGCAAGAGTGCAGCAGCGGCGAGAAGCAACATCCGTTGCTGTGTCCGACAGGCATCTCACATTTATGGCGGACATAAAAGTGAGACACCTGTCAGACACAGCGGCGGGGGTGTTGCTTCTCGACGCTGCCGCGCTCTGCCACCTCGGCCCCCCCTCCTCCATTCCCGCTGACATTCCAAAAGGACATTCCAAAAGTATGCCGCCGAGGAGCAGCAGAGCCAGGCTCATTGCCACTCAGGTGGCCCCCACTGCCAGCAGCTTGGGTGTCCCGGCTCTGTCCAAGCTGCTTGCCGTCGCGCTCCACCGCCTTGCCCCCCCCCCCGCCTCCTCCGACGAACAATCCTGCTGCCCCGGCCTGCAGCCAGCCCAGCACTGAGCGGGGAGGAGGAGGAGAAGAGCAGTGAATCCTTGTGCCGGCTGGCCGGCCAGGCGGGGAGCAGGTCGGGTGGGGAGTGGGTGGGCTGGCTGGCTGGGGAGGGGGGATCATGGCCGCTCAGGCGGCCCCCTCCCCAGCCAGCC